GCAAGGTTGAAAAGCCCAGAACACTCGACTAAATATTCCATTTTCGGTGACATGAGTACCATCTGGGGCGTATGTCGACAGTGTTTCCATAATATAAACAATACCCTGAGAATAAGTCTGAAGTGCATGCAGGTAGCGGGAAAGTTCTTTGTATGACTTCTCCCAGTTTCCATATACCTTTTCAATCGCTCTGGTCTTTGCTAACCACGCCTTTCGGTATGACGAAGTATAGTTATATACCGTAGTGGTGTGAGAGATTATAGTTTTCACCTTCAATCATAGATCATTGCTGACGAGAGGTAGGATTTCTTGACATATGAGATCATAATTTAGTTTCTGATGATCCCGTGATTGAGTAGAATTGACGCACGTGTGAGTGGATATAGAACCAATCACCCAACAATCACCTCTTAATCTGTATGATGCAGTGGGCTTGAACATACAATCTGGGTGGACACACCTGAGCTTGTATCTTTCTAGATTTACATGATCTACCTTAAATCGACTGAGCTTAGCGTGTGAAACTTTTTTATGGCTCGAATAAAATCTTCTCTATTACGAAATTTGTATTTCTCTTTTAAGTTTTCATCCGACTGCATATACAGATTGAAAAAAACATCAGGCCACGATTCATCTCCGCCCATATTAAAGTTTATCATGTGTGGAGGTGGTGTGTAGATCTCATTCGGAGGTATATCAGGTATCCCATCGTCTTCATAATCATCGTTGACCATGTCGTAAAACTCTAACTCATCATCTTCCTCTTCTTCGTCAACGACATCTACTTATGCTTGTTCGGCCTCGAGAGGATCAACCAATTGTGACTGATTTGGTTGTGACAACTGAGGCTCCCGCAACACAATGTACAACTCAATAGAGTCGTACCCAGAATACTCATGACTGGAAAACATACTTTGAAGGTCCTCATCATCTTGAACCTCAACCTTATAATATATTATTTGGTTCTCATCAAAAAAACCGGATTTTGATAGAAGATCTGTGTCACGAGACCTCGTTCAAGTTTGACCTCCAATCGTTTTTTGAAATACAAGAAATTGGCTTTCCTGTTTAAACAAAATCGGATGTTCTCAGTGTCTCTAAAAAAACTCAGAGGTGAGACAAATGTATGTCTCACTGTTGAAATATGCACTGATAACATATTATGGTGCAAAGGCCATTGTGTTTGAATGTTTGAATGTTTGAAGGTTTGAAGGTTTGAAGGTTTGAGTGTTTGAGTGTTTAAGTGTTTAAGTGTTTGAGTGACTGGTTGTTTGAATTTTTGAATGTTCGAGTGTTTGAGTGATTGAGTGTAGAAGTGTTTTGATAAATGTAGGATTAAATAGGTTGTACTGAATTTGAAAAATACAACAGTAAGTAACCTCTAATTCACCCTCCTACATGTCCAATCATATTACATGCATGCAGAGATACCTTCCCCAAGGCTACCACCTAGTATGCACCTACACTGCAACCCATGCCACCTCTAAGTCGCCAACTGGGATGGTGACACCTTTCAATTTTATACTCATTCACCAAGTCAAATGGCGCCTCCGTACATGTCCAATCGTATTACGTGCATGCAAAGATGCCTTCCCCAATACTGCCACCTAACCTGCACCTACACTGCAACTCATGCCACCTCTAATTTGCCAACTAGGATGGCGACACCTTTCAATTTTGTACATATTCTCCAAGTCAAATGGCGCCTCCCTACATGTACAATCGTGTTACATGCATGCAAAGATGTCTTCCCCAAGGCTGTCACCTAGCCTGCACCTACACTACAACTCATGCCACCTCTAATTCGTCAACTGAGATGGAGACACCTTTCAATTTCGTACTCATTCGCCAAGTCAAATGGCGCCTCCCTACATGTCCAATTGTGTTACATGCATGCAGAGATACCTTCCCTAAGGCTGCCACCTAGCCTGCACCTACACTGCAACCCATGCCACTTCTAATTTGTCAACTGAGATGGCGACACCTTTTAATTTTATACTCATTCTCCAAGTCAAATGGCGCCTCCCTACATGTTCAATCGTGTTACATGCATACATAAATGCCTTCCCTAAAGCTGCCACCTAGCCTGCACCTACACTGCAACCACCTCATGAGTGACACATATGATGCATGCATGCACCCAGCAACCACCTCATTTATTCACTTTGATAAAATTTTGTCTATAAATACAAAGCCTCACATACTTGTTTTGCATCAACAATCATCTCACACTCTAATACAAACTCTTTCATTATCTTATACAATTTCAACTATGACTCTTCTCACGATGAGCGATTCTCACAGAGGCACAAGGGACAACATTGCAGCGTTTGCAAGTTTTTATAAATTCTCAAATATTCTTGTATACTTATATAGTTTTTATAATATTATTAATTATTTATACATCTTATGGACTCTTACACTTTTTATATTTTAAATTTAGGATACTAAAATATTCAAAATTAGCTCACACAACTACATTGCTCCCGATCCGTTGATCGTGCCCTATCTCGAATATGCGGGTTTCAAAAATGTTATAAAGATCTCCAACTGAATGATTGATTCAAAGTTTATACTTGCAATATTTGAAAGATGGAGACCTTAGACACACACATTTCATCTACCAATAGGTGAATGTACCGTCACACTAGAGGACATGTACATGTTATTGGGTCTCCCTGTCGATGGTAAGACGGTTAACAGGCCGATTCAACAACCCAATTCTCTATGCAAGGAATTGTTGGGCAAAAATATGGTTGAAGGTGGTGGTGCTAGAGACCAAGGTATATTACTTACTGAACTCAAAAAATATTATGTGACTCTGGAGTTGAACGAAAATTCCTCCGAGCTAGCTAGAGTAATAAAAGCTAGAAATTATATAATGATACTATTTGGAACCTTTTTATTTCCCGAAAGTACGGGGAATAGTATAAATTTTATGTATTTAAATTTACTTAGAAACTTTGAAAAAAACTAGAAAGTATAGTTGGGGTTCTGTTGTTTTAACCCATTTATACAGTTCTTTGTGTAAAAATGCAACCAAAGAACAATGTACTTTTTATGGATGCACTTTCTTACTCCAAGCCTGGGGTTGGTGGAGAATGGAGTCCCTAAACCCCGTCAACAACAACAACGCATTTGTGTTCCCACACGCAACAAAGTAAGTCAAGAACTTAAATCATTTATTATTCATTCGTTCGTCGAATATATGTTAAAAATAATCTATTTTACAATTCCTTTAGGTATTGCGTGACGGGTATGGATTACGGCAAGAATCCAAGATTCAATGTCGCTCTATATCACAATCTATTGGATCACCTTGACCCGGATGATGTACGCCGTACCTTTGAACTTTTCTACTTTTAAATTATTTATTTATTACGTTTTCATTATGCTGATTTAATTTTATCCACAATTTATCTGGAGACTATATTTAGGTCTGGACCATGAACCAAACCCCAAGGACGCAACAATTTGGACCACAAAGACTACAATCGTACAATTCAACATTGTGGAGATGCACCACAGCGACCGTGTCAAGATGCAGTTCAGAATGCATCCAGAGATACCCTATGATCTAACTTGTTTGTCCTTTTGACATCTCAAAAGGGTCGATGCCCAATGATGTCTTACTAATTGGAAAAATTTTACTCTAGAATGGTGTAAGATGTGACATAGGCATCACCAACATGTCTTGCAATTCCCTGTTTTCATCAACCAAAGTAATATGCGACACACAGATCAATATTTAGCTTGGTACAGATCAGTTAGTAATCCATAAATACACGTGTCTCATTTGAGGTATTTGATTGACCCACGAACACAATGGGCACAACCCTCATTTCTCCAACAACAAACTCAACACACATTAACCTCTCAGCAACCACCCCGATTATACAGATCCACAACCACCCAGCCACAATCACCACCATAATACAGATACACTCATATGCCCCACACCCAACCACAATCACCACCTCAATACCAATACCCTCATATGCCCCACACCCAACCACAATCTCAATCACAATACCAATACACCCGCATGCCCCACACACAATCCCAATATTCTCCATATCCCAATGTGGGCCCCTCAACATCTAACCTTAGCCCATATTTGAGATTTTTCGAAGAATATGACCCAACCGACCCAACTTGCCATCAACCACCACATCACCATAACACCCAACATTCACAATACCAAACACCCCAAGATTCATTTCCTTTCTACCCCCTTACTCAGACGATCAATGCTATAGACCAACCATGGAACCCCATCCACCACCAAGACGACCAAACTTTGAGAGTATGGGTAACCGACTATACCAAAACAGATATTCCAGATACGGAGATCTGACCGATTTCATAGATCTGGAACGCATTGACTTCGTTGGGCCATCGACCCTGCCACAACAGGAAACACGACAAAACCCACCATGAGACAAGCGAGGACGCGGATGCAGAACCGCGGGTCATTACCAAGTTCCCGGGGACCACTAATTATTTTGTATGTTTCTTTTTATTATGTAATCGTTTTTTATAAATCAAAAGTCGAATTTTCGTGAAACTGTATCATTTACCTAATGTCCCGCATTTAAAATAAAAAACAAAAAAAATTACACCTCTATTGCACTTAGGCGCCATCTCACATCACATGGCTTAAGACAAACTTTTAACACCTAAACGCCAAGTGATATGACGCCTCTCCTTTACTTTTAGATGCATGCGCCAACTGGGTTGACTCCTCTTTTATAGAATTTTCTAAAACATAATTATTTACGTAATTTTCTCCGAAATATAATTATTTGTGTATTTTTTTTCTTTTCAAAACCTGATTATTAAAAAAGAAAATTTCTCCATTATATCCATGTTGTATATACAAAAAGTTCCATTATCCTTGAATAAAAAAAGAAGTCAATTATCCAAAAAAAAAAAGCAATAAAAATCCAAAAAACATATATAGAGTGTGGGTCCGAATCTGGTGTGTGCAGGAGCATTTATCAACAAGAAAAGTCTTGGCGTAACGCCACTGCATTCACAATCATCTTATTACACAGAGAGAGAGAGAGAGAGAGAAAAAGAAAACTCAAACTCAAAAAGCGATTCGTCGTTTCGTTCGTGATCTGTTTCCATGTCGCCAACGAATCGCTTCTAACTGTTTCGATTCCGATCTCTGTGCTTACTGGTAGTGGCATAGAATAGGATAACACCGAACAAGAACTCTTCATTTTTTTCAACGATAGCCATGGCAGCAGCACCCGCTAGAGCTCGTGCCGATTACGATTACCTCATCAAGCTTCTTCTTATCGGCGATAGTGGTTCGTTCATTCTTCTTCTCCTTTTTTTTCTTTTCATTTTATTTATTTTCCAGATCTTCGTTTATTCTTCTTATTATTTCGGATTATTATTGTTATATAAACGATCCTTTTATGTATTATGGTTTTTCATTTTTGTGACTCAAATTTTAGGTTATTCTTTGTTGATTGAATTCTGTTATAGCTTCAGTTTTATGACTTGTTTTTATGGAGTTTCATTCCTGACTCTTGTGTTGCATTTTGTTGATGCTTTTTTGTCATTGGTTTGATTGAGTGGGGGATTAGTGTTGTATGGAGATTATGTAATAATTGTTCAATATAGGAGTATTATATGATCATATCTAGTCAATGTTATATCAATGGTGATCTAAGAAGCACGAACACCGAACATCGGAAAGACAATACCGATACTGACATGTTTACACCGTTAAATAATTTGATAAAATGAAGAAATTAAAGGTAATCACAAGTGTCTGGCGTCAATTTTAGACACCGACACTGACACTAACACAAGTTTTATAGAGGTGTCGGTGCTACAAGAGATGGTGATTGATGGTTCTGGGTGACAAGTCAAAATTCAGCCATATTTTGGGTGGGAATCTACTTTCTTATGGAGTAACTTGTCTTAATTACTCTGTTTAGTACTTTTTGCGCACTTTGAATTTTATCGATTCATCTGCAGAATATTATCATGTTATTTTAACGATCATGCACATTGAGTTTTGATAAATTTTTGATGTTTATAGTTATGTAATCATATATTAGACCTGTTAAATTGAACATATTTGATGTAGTAGCCAATAATTTATAAGTTTAATGAAAATTTGTGGACTTGATCCACTTGTTAAGAACTTCTAATTTATTGGTTGGATTAGTGAAATGCAATGTCTTAACTGGATTATCTCCAATATAAAGTTATACCAAAAATAATCTACAGAACTTAATAGAAAAGACCAGCAACTAACATGTGTGAAGAATAATGAACTAAATGGATAAAATCAAATAATATCATAAGTATCGTCATCGTCGTAATAATAATAGTGGGTAAAAATAATATTATTTCAAACATAGGAACAGATTAACTATAAGAAAAAAGAGTGGCAAATGTAAGATGACACAGATAGTAGAAAGGAGATATTACTATCTTAGAGATAGCAAAAAGAAGGAAATGTTGCTGGAAAAAAGAACAAGGAATAGATAGTCAAAAAGAAAAAGATGTTTGATCATTTGATGATTTGTTCACTGGAAGTTGAAGCTTGCTAGAGAACTGAGTTCATAGAGATGTCAAAGTTGAGATTGAATAGTTTTGGCAAAGAGTATGAAGTTGGAGTCTTTCATATGAGGCCGCTGTTGCTCGATAGTATTAGTCTTTCATATGAAATAACAAAAAGAAGATGTTGCTAGAAAAAAGAACAAGGAATAGAAAGTCAAAAAGATAAAGATGTTTGATAATTTATTCACTGGAAGTTGAAGCTTGCTAGAGAACGGAGTTCATAGGAAATGTCAAGTTGAGATTGAATATTTTTGGCAAAGAGTATGAAGTTGGAGTCTTTCGTTGAGATTGAGTAGTTTTGGCAAAGAGTATGAAGCTGGAGTCTTTCATATGAGGCTGCTGTTGCACGATAGTATTAGTCTTTAAAAGTGGTTTCTCTTAGGGGTCATTTGGGTTTCTGGTTAGGTCAAGAGGCCCCATTTATTTGGCGTTGTACTAATAATTTCCCCCACTATCACTACTGGCGCCATAGGTGCCATGAGTATGGCAGTTACCACGGCCTTCCATTTATAAACCGCTATGCCATAAGGTTTGTGTGGCAATTAGTCAAAAATCTACCATGCCATAGCAGCTCTGCATTTGATTACACTGTATCTAGTTTGGTTTTAATGTTGTTATGGTTGAAACTTGAATGACATTTTGTCCTTTTACGTATATGTTTTTTAGTACTTTTATGGCTCAACTATTTGTAGGTGTGGGGAAGAGTTGTCTGCTTTTGAGATTTTCTGATGGTTCCTTCACAACCAGTTTTATCACCACCATTGGGTTAGTATCTGTAGACTTCTTTTATCCCCTGTGATAGTGCTATAAGAGTTTCTTCTTGTGGATTTCTTAAGGTGCATATATCTAAATTCCCCATATCTATCACTATTATCTATTATGAGTTATTTATTAGGTTTTAATATGCTTTAGAAACTCAGCAAGCTCAGGCTCAAAGAGTTCATTTGATGTATACATATTAAATTGTATACTTATCATATCTCATGTTTAACATGTTGCTTTCTCATTTTTGTACCGGATTTCCTTCATTATTTACACATAAATAATTGTACGCACTACACAACCAGACATATATGTATATTTTTTAACGAAATTATAATCTTATTATAAAACTTTATGGCAGTATTGATTTCAAGATAAGAACCATTGAACTTGATGGCAAACGCATTAAGTTGCAAATCTGGGATACAGCTGGTCAGGAGAGATTCAGAACTATTACTACTGGTATATATTTTGTCTTGTGCAAACTTGTTAACAAATTCAAAATTGGCAGTTGTCCACTTGGTCTCATACACTGGGAATTGATAACCATGGCCCTATATGTTTACACACATTCCTGTAGAAGTTAATTGACAGTTGTTCACTTGCCCTTTTGAACATAATTAGTTATATAAGTATTATCAGCAGCTTTTGTTTGAAGGGACTTTTTTTTATACAATTCTTTTGTACAGAAGTTACAAGTTTCGAAGGAATATAATTTAAATCATTATGTGTTGTGACTCAAATCTAAAGCACACAGGGGCCTGTTTTATACTTTTATAAAATTATAAAATTACTTTAGTCTAATATTCAGTTCTTAATGACTGTAATTTTAAATACTACTACTGATTAATCTCCTACTCTTACAATGTTACTTTCTGTTGCAGCTTACTACCGTGGAGCCATGGGTATCTTGCTGGTTTATGATGTTACTGATGAAGCATCTTTCAATAGTACCCTCCTTTCCCTGGTCTTGTTTTCAGCTTAAACATATTTCAATGAATTTATTTTGACGTATATATGCACTCGTGTTTGAGAATTGTAGGCTTCATTTTGGCTTCGGCTGAACCAGAAAATTGTATTTCCTTCTGATTTTCCCATTTCTTCTTATTCCTTTGTAACTCCAATATTTTCCGATTCACATTTAACTAGTTAGATTATGAAGTGGTCTGTTTTTCTTTTATGATTAACTTTCCTTTGATTATTCTGCCTGCCTTTTGATTTTCAATGTAATTTGGTTCTTTCTGTTCAGATATTAGGAATTGGATTCGCAATATTGAACAACATGCTTCTGACAATGTAAACAAGATACTTGTGGGAAACAAGGCTGATATGGATGAAAGTAAAAGGGTATGTACATTTGGGGGTCCTTTCTATTTATATTATAAATCTTAGATTGAGCAATCTCTGTGTTATTTGTGCCATTTTTGTTTTATTATATTTTCCGTTGTAACAAACATAAGGTGTTACTTTTTCACTAGGCTGTACCTACCTCCAAAGGTCAAGCTCTTGCTGATGAGTATGGTATCAAGTTCTTTGAAACTGTGAGTTGCTGTATGCTTGATGTCTACATTTTCGATAAATTATGTGATTTCTTTTTACTTATATTGAAGAACACATGCAGAGTGCAAAAACAAACATGAACGTGGAGGAAGTTTTCTTTTCAATAGCAAGAGACATCAAGCAAAGGCTTGCAGATACGGATTCTAGATCCGAGGTACTTTGTTGACTCTTTGCCGTCTTTTATTTTTTTAATCCTAAGAAGCGTAATTTCTAGAAGTAAGATTTTGTTGCTTCTATCTTGTAACTCAATAATGATATTTTCTTCTATGGTGGTTCAGCCTCAGACTATCAAGATTAACCAACAGGATCCGGCAGCGAATGGCGGTCAAGCTGCAACAAAATCAGCTTGCTGCGGTTAGTGAAAAGAATAATACCTGCAGTAAGAGGATGCAGGTTCTACAGTAGTGCTCATTTGGGGTGCTAATGTTATTCTGATGACAATATTCGTGGGAGCATGTATTTGTCCCTCTCTATCTCCCAACTTCAGACGTCGTGTTTTAAAGTTTATATTTTTAACTGTTTATTTTCCTTCTCATTTAGTTGGTGGAATTTGTGCTGACTTGTTAAATTGCTTCAATTTCTTCGTTCATATGTAGTTTTTTACTCTAAGATATAATGACGGATAGATTATCACAACACTTCACTTGCAAATTGCAATGTATATCAGTCCAAAGACTATGCTAGTTTAAGAGTGCCGTTATTAATCCATGGGTTTGGGAGACATTCTTATAGTAATACAATAAGGGCTTCTGCAGTTTATTTTTAACAGCAGAGGATCATAATCCTTAACCTACAAACAATATCACAATGCATGAATGTTGCAGTTTTCATCCAATGCAAATCCGGTTCATAGACATATGTTTTATTTTGCTTAATGATTGGGATAATAACAAATTTATTGTATAAAATTTATTGAACAAACTAATACAAGCAAAAGAAAGGATGGGATTAGCACAAGATAGTCCTTAATACACCATATTCATCCATCATCGTTATTTTTAGTTATCACAACCTTATTCATAATCTCTTCTAGTTCACATGGTAGCTCATTCTTATTTTATTTTATTTTTAAGCCAGCAATGTTAGTATATTGTTATGTCGAAAGTGGACCTTAACCCTTGACCTCTTAAATCTTTATCCTTTTGCTACTTAACGCTGCTACACCAGTCAGAATTTTACCTTTAGGTGCATACCACTTTCAGCAAATTTTAAAATTTTCAATTTTAATCCTTTGTTAATCTATATTTTTTAAATTTTATAATTGTTTAAAAAAACTTTACTCCTAAAACCTATGTAAATCTCAAACCTTGTACTTCGAGATGTGTTTTTATTAGATTTAAAAAAAATTCAGCATGCACTTGGATTTATAGAAAATCATGTATATCAAAAAAATTTCATCACCTTCATAAATCACATAGGCTTAATTTTTTAAAGTTACCTTATATGTTTTGCTAGTTTTGTTAGTTGTATATTGAGGGGGATATGACACACGTGCAATATGTCTATGTCGGTCCACCTCGTGCAATGTATGCAATCTGCGTTGCTATAACAAAAGTCTTATTATCTGGGCTTATAAAATTCACGAGGTTATATAAAAAAGAAGTGTTATCGTGGCGACCAATCATGCTAGGTGGTGAAAGCGACACTAGGGTGTCATCTGAAGGCATGTTACAACATTTGACCGTTTGATAACATTTGAAGGGTCGGTTGAGCCAGGAAGGATGATGAGAGGATGTGATACCCATTAGTACTACTATAAGTACATAGTCAGGCACTGGTGATGACATATCACAACCACTGCATTTTCTCTAATTTAGCGAATCCATTAACAATGTTAGCACATAAACATAGCCATCAACGCTATATGATACAATATACTGGTCACGGTAATGCCTTGTACATAATCGAATTGGCGGAGACACCACTTAAAAAGGTAAGCTTCATTTCACTCTCTTGACGTAGATAATTTGAGAACAATGCACTGTCATCAAAATTTTGGTGCACCTGATGGTCTGTGTATGATGTTCATATGACATTATCAAAGGTGTGAGTTTCAGCCTTGCTCATATACTCTTAAAGACTGCTTATATGGGCATGCTTGGTGACCCATCTAGTCACTCGTGGGGAGCATTATGTGATAGGACCCCTATCATTCTTGTCACAAATAAAGGGAAAATGCTTATAGATTCAACATTGTAGTAAAAAATACAATTTAAAACTACACAAATTTTCATAAAACTTAACTAAAAAAGATAAAAAATATTTATACTTGAAAGTGACTCATATACCAACAAACTGCCTCATCTTTAATGTGGTAGCAATTGTTAAGGACTAAAATATTGATATTATTGTGAATAATTTTGTGATCCTTTTGCACTATTTTAATGTTTGTAATGTTAAGGCTTGTAAATAACTACAAATAAATAATTCTTAGATTTAGATCGTAAATAATATGATATGCTTACTTTAATGCTCAGTTTTGTAGGTTTTTATGATCGTAAAAGAAGCATGGGAGTATTAGGCAAGTATGGACTAAACTAAGGTATTCAAAAGATCAAAAATTGAAGTTTTGTGCAGGCAAGTCCGCTAAGCCGGTTTTGCAGTGCGTTATGCTTCTATTTTTGTATCAGGCAGAAGTAGGGGTGTTCAAATCCAAACTAATCCAAATAAAAAACTGAAAACCGATCTAAAAAACCGAAAACCGCAAAAAACCGAAATTTATTGGATGTGTTTGGATGTTATTTTGTGAAAATCAATCAGTTCGGATCGGATTTCGAATTAATTTTTCAAAACCGATCCAAACCAAACCAAACTGCATACATATATTTTTATACTTATTTACTTTTTATTAGCATGATATGCTATGTGAAATTATTATTAGATAATAATAATTTTTTTAATAATAGTTATTAGCTTGGTATAATTTATTTATTTTTATTATTTCAATCATAATCAACCACTCTCATTTTGTAATATTAACTTTTAATATATTATATGTTATATATTATATCAAATCTATGATTTATTAGTAGTTTTATAATATTAATAAAAATATAATGTGTAATTTGGATATCCAAAAACCAATCCAAATTAAACCGCATAAAATTGGATCGGATCGGATTGGATTTTTTTAATATATCATCCAAAACCGAACCGAACCGCAAGTAAATTTATCTTTGGATCAGATGATTTTTTATCTTAAAACCGATCCAAACCGAACCGCAAACACCCCTAGGCAGAAGTGCAATTTTTCAGTCTGTTAAGCCGGCTCAGTTTGCTTAGTACGGTCTCCTGAAACGGAAAAGATATTTTCTTTGAATCCGCTAAACGCGGACTACATTGAATGTCTTATTTCTTTTCTGCATAGTAGTAAACAAATTTATGAGAAATCATTTGAAGTAACCGGAAATATATTTTTGGAATAAATTAAGTTGTAAATGAGGGTATATCTCAAAAATGAAAGAAATATATATGTATGTAGGGTGCGAACCGAAAATATAATTTTGGTTTCTTTGGGGTCTTTTTGGAATTGCACAAAGTTTTTTTCAATCACATGGGGTGGCTTAAGAAATCTTCAAATACTCCACTAGCCAATATGTAATATTTTCATTATTTTGAATTCTTATTCCATCTATTTCAAAATGACTGTCGTTTTAATAAATAATTTTTGTTTTAAAATGACTGTCATTTTCATTTTTCAATATAGTAATAATTATTATTTTTATAATATTGTATCATTTATTTTTTACTTTTTACACTATTTCTAATAAATTAATAAAGTTAATTTTATAAAAGTACGACATCTTATGACAATTTCATTGCATTTCTTAATTTATGTGTAAAAACTTTAAACAACCGTCATTTTGAACTTGATGAAATAATTGTTTGCATTAAGTCGATTGTCTAACCCACTACCATTAACAGTTGTTTTAGATACCCCACATTTGCCTCTTTATCCAATTACAAAGAAAAGAGACAATTAAAAGTTTCTTTCATGACCCCTTTTGTACTCCAAGAAACTCTTCTTAAATAGATCTCCTCTCATTATTAATACCCTTCTGAAGCCTTTTTGACATTTAAATATTTTAGAAAATTTCATGTCCTTCTATTAACTAGACAAACATTTTCCCATCAATTAGACCATCCTCTCGAGTATTCACTGACAGTGTCTTATTCACCTCCAACACTTTCTTTAATGGCAAGTTTAACTTTTGTTTCCTGTCTCTACTTCAACTCAGACATTTAATTTTCTAATGGAAATGACTTTGCATGGGTTTATTATCTTAGCAGAGTGATGAATAATATGCACCACTATTAGCTTAGAGAGAGTAGTTGAAAAGCTGTTAAGAAGTGCTTAATAACGCACCAATTCATCCATGTTTGAAAGGAAGTAGGATGAAAGTGTAGTGTCGAGGTGTAAAAAGGTGTGTTGAGCTTTAAAGTCCCACATTGTCCGAGTCTACAACTAAAAGGGGTGGAGGGTGTTATTTAAATAAGTGAAAAGAAAGAAACGAATATCATTTCGCTTTGGGCAATGGCCCATTTAGTGAGGTACTAACGGAGGTGCTTGGGCCTTTGGGAATATTTGGAATGACTCTCTTAGGGGTAAATGCGGTTTGCCACCTTCCAATTTTTCACATTTATGTAAATGTCTCTAATATATATTAGAATTTTTAAATTTTATGGCTCCATACTAGAAATTCTCTTTGATACAAGAAATTTGAAATTTTCGATAGTATCGAATGTATTTTTTGTTGTTGTGTTTTATAGTTTTTTTGAAAAATTTAAAAGGAAAAATAGTTAGTCGACTTAATATATAAATAGAATAATAGTCATATATATATGCATAAAAAAAACTATAATCACTTCTTACACAAATTTTCCCAATGTCTGAAGTGTATCGTATAGCTGATTCCCATGTTTTTACATCATTAATACAATTTTCTCTCCAACGGACAGTGGCAGAAAACAATGAACAATTAGGTTTCAACTTTACCTGAATCCAATGATTGTTGTTGACAAAACCAATATCAATTATTTTATGCCCACTTGTGCATATGGGTGGAGCATTGATTAGTGGAAAAAATGAGATGTTGAGATTCTTGGAAATGGAAACAAGTACAACATTGTATCTAGTCACAATCGTGTAACCCATATCAGGAATCAACATTCATTTTTCTCCACCCTGCACACCCAAGTGTTCTACTTGTAACAAATTCCTACTTATGGAGACAATGTCATAGAATAATTTGGAAAACAATTGAGCGTGTTGATGGACTTGAGAATCTAATTACTTCTAAACCAAAGGCCATGAATCTTCCTCCCACCCTAATAAAGATGAAATACAACGAAAATCACA